ATTACAATTTATTATATTGTAAATTACAATTCTTGGTCATTTGTAATAATATAATATAATATAATTATATATTTTATTTACTTTGCATTTTTATCAAAACAAAACTCTGAATAGATTAGTAAGTCCTAAAATTCTAAATAGTATATTTTGTTAATTATACAAATTTAATAATTTTGATAAAATTTAACCATACACTATAAACTGTAAACTAAATATTAATTATTCACAACAACCAGGTTCTTATGAGGTTTCAAATGTTTTATTTTAAGTATTTTTAACATACCTGGGCATTCATGGTACCTAAATTATTATAACATACAACTGCATAGTGCATACATGTATTAAAATTTTTTGTTTGAAAAACAAATATAAAAAATAAGGGTTGGAAACCAGTTGGAACCGGTTTTAACCGGAACCTAAATTTTAAACTTTATAAAATMCCGAAATTTAACCGAAACCCATAAAAAAATATTTTAAAGATCTAAACCCTTACCGAAACCGTTAAAACCATTAAGGTCTCGGTCCCTGATTCATATACCTTACAAAAATATTCATAAAAATTTATAAAAAATTTATTTTATCTTAAAATTAAAACATAAACATATTCTATTAAATCAATAATTAATTTGAAGTATTCACAATATTGTTTTAAAATTCATTAAACTACTTTTTTTTTTTTTAATTTAAAATTTTGTATAAAACACTTTGTCTTTTAGTAGAAGAATGAAGTTAGTATGTATAATAAATATGATTGTTAAATGAATTAATATTATCTAATAGATAATAGCGATACGGTAAAGTAAAATCGTTCATTACTAAAGCGTATTAAATGTGTTAAATGTATATTATATATTATTATGAAAATTGAATTAATATTATCTAATAGATGAGTCTATTGGGCAATACATCCATTCTGTTGATTCAATAAAATCAATTTCTTTTTCAAGTTCTTTAAGTCTTTTTGCATGTTCTTCCACATTAATCAGGTCGATCCCAATTTCATTCATCTAAAAAATACCATCATATTATTTGTAGATTATGGACTAAAAGGCCAAAGTAAATATTAAATTATTTAATTTATATTAGTTAAGTAATATGAAGTGTTTTTCTTTTATTTTTATAATTTGAATTTAATAAAAATATAAATTTAAATTTAAAAAAAGCTATTTGAGATATCATTTTTTTCTTCAATATTATTTGTATATGGTTGACAAAACTACGATGGATAATAGACCCATCGAAACAAAAATGAATAAAAATAAATATTATAATCACAAAACATTAATTAGATAACTATAATGCAYATACAACAACAATAGCATGCAACATTGACAATCAAAACAATAAATCGGTCAGGATTTTGTTTAAAGCTTCCCTCTGTTGCCACATTCCCCAAAATGTATGATAAATTTCAATTAGTAGTTTAAAAAAACATTTACATCAAAAGATATATATTGAATATACAGGATGTTTCTTTCATCATTGAATACTTATTATTTCAGAAAGTATATAAAAAATGTTACATGGGTTCTAGGAATCAAACTAAAAATTTTCAAAGAATTTTGATATATTAAAATTGAATTTAAAATGAGTAGATTATGAGTTAAGTATTTAAAGTTTAGATGAGCTGAGTAGTTGATTATTATTTAGAGTAATATTCTCCTACCACTCCACTATATTCATCAAAGTTTTAAATATTTATAAAGTTACAACTTATAAGATACTAATCCTAAATTTGATTTTTACGTATCAAAATACATAGAAAAAGGGAACTGTTTTGGAATATGAAACTAAAACTGAATTTTGCCATTCAACAGAATAAACAACTTGAAAAATTTTAGATAAAATATATATATATATATATGTAATGTTACAGGCAAAGTAGACTCTCGGGTAATGCTCACAATGCCCGGTCTATGTATACTTTGCCCGGTCTATGTATACTTTGCCCGCTGTTTTTGGACAATACATTAAAATACTATTTTGACCGGCAGGGTTATAGCTTGACCGGTCCAAGTATACTTTGCTCGTAGTAAATTGGCTATTGTAACTTAAGCTATTAACTAAAATATTATGAAACCATTGTCTGTTAGCAAGGCCAGGCCGAGGGCCTGGCAAGGTGGGCGCCAGGGGCGCAAAATTTGATATAGTTAAATTTTAAAATCTAGGGGGGGGGGGCATTGCCTGATGTAAACATTGCCCGAAAATCTACTTTTCCCGTAACATAAAGATATATATAAAAAAAATGTTGTTTTTAAATAATGAGTATTCAATGATAAAAGAATCACCTCTTATAACTATTATGGATTGCATGTTTAATTTATATTGAACATACAWTAGTTAATTAAACATAAATACAATATAAAAATATATTTACCTGGCCTTCAGTTTCACATGGTTGCTTTAGTGAAAAAAAAAAAATATAAGTTAATAACCATACTATAAATTGTATCAATAATTAATAACTATACAAATATAAAGGATATTTGTCTTTAGTCTGACTCATGAAAAAATAAACCAATACTATTTAATAAATATCATACAACCTTTAATTCCAATCAATAATTTGGGCAATATTCAATATAACAATATACAATTATTTTCATAAGCCATACTATAACTATTTAAAACATAATTTAACATAAAATTCATTTTTTTATTTATTTTGAACTATGCTTAAGTCTTTTTCTAAAACTACCCAAACTCTTACTAAAATGATTATAATCTGTTTTATGTCAAACACAATAGTTCTCAATCTTTTTATGTTTGCGGTACTTTTTATTTATAGCATTTTCACAGAACATTATAGTATTTTAATATATAAAAAATATTATCTCAATTTAAAAATGTTATACTATAACCATGGTTTTTAGGAGATATTGATATCTAACAACCAATAGTTTTTCACAATATGACCACTATACTCAAACTCCTAGGCGGCTAAACGATAAGTGAAATAAAATATAATAGTCATTTATGATAAAGAAAATTAAGAACTGGGAAATTTATATTCTTATTAAATGTCATAGGGTCATAGTACACCTATAACCATTTTGTGGTGCAGAACACTAGTTTAACATATACCAACTATGGATAAATCCTTATTTAGTATTTCTCCATTTCTTMATTTTATATTCCAACTATTCAACTTAAGTTATTTTTTACTACATATTTTGATAAAGACATAATTAAGAGTTCTACATAAACTGTTTCTAATACTTTAATATATTTATAACAACTAATGTAAGGTGTATATACAAACAATTGTTTAGATATTTTTGTAAAAAGTTATKTATATCTAATTTGAACATATTGAATACAATATTACTAATTAGAAAACAGAGTTTCTAAATCATATATATATATGTAAATAAAGACAAAACATTTTGTTGTCACAACCAAACATTCTAGCTGATGACAATACTTTGAATGTCAATCATTAAAAGTGAATAATCTTAATACTAACTTGTAAAATTATTAAAATGAAAAAAATAAAATGGTACTTCACTATTCGTCTTAAAGACCTTAAATTTGGACAATATCGCAGGATTAATAGATTTAAAAAAATTTTTTGAAAAGAGGGTTATATGAATGAAAAATATAAGTACGAAAGTTAAGAAATATTGTAGAATTTGAGTAGTTAAATTGAACTTAAATTTATAAATTCAGTGAAATCCACTAACAAACATTTTTTTTTTTTTTTTTATGAAAACATTTTCTACGGTAAAACCTCCTGAATAACAAATACCTTAAATTATGAAAGAACAAAGATAGAAAAACCAGCTCACATTAGTATAATGATATTTGACAACAAATTCTTTCATAAAATTTGTTATGAGGTAATAAGATAAGATTTTGATGAATAACAACCATCATGACAAAAAAATCAATGACTTAACTGCCTAAGTTTTGTTCATTTTGTTTGTTAGTTAGACCAGGCAAATCAATTTTTTCAGGCCGAATTTATTTATTTTTATGTGTAAACATATGCATTTTTTTATTACTATTTATAATATTTATACATATTATACTATATTTTATAAATGTTTTATTATATTTAACAATGTTAGGTACATTGACTATTTAAAAATTTCAAAACGTGTTTTCTCGGAATAACGAACAAAATTTTGGTACCTTAAGAATTTCTGCTATTTAGATTTGGAAGTATCATTAAATGTTGTTTAGTCAATAGCTACACATAGTTGGATATTTTTACTTATAGGTGGCTGATATCAGAAATGTTGTTATTAGCCAAGCATCAAATATTACCCGTAGCACATAAACAATGGACAATTTTTTTAATGGAGGAAGATAGAAAAAACAGATATTTAAGTTTGCAGTTAAGTTGAAGCTTTTCCATTTTTTACTAACACCACCACAATAACAATAGATAAAATACATAAAGTCTTAATAAATAATATAATTTTTCCTATAYCTCATATTTAAAAAATTTCTCATTAATATTTATGAATGTATAAGTTTATTTTTTTTTTTWATTTTTGAGACATGACATTAAAAGCTTCTTTGAAATATAACCACTATCCCATGAATGGCAATATTAACCCATTGAAACAGTTTTAAAAATAATGTTAAAATTGACAAGAATAATATGTGATATATCTTACTACATGAAAATATCTTCTTAGGAGTTGACATTAACAATGTATGATGCTGTAATAATGTATTGTAAGGATTTTTCTAATTGCACAAATAAAATATATGGTATATTTATAAGGGGGGGGGAGTGCTTTAATCCACACAGTATACACTGAATACTATATTAAAAAAAAAAATACAAACAATTATGTACTCCAAAATGTAAAAAAAGCACCATTAAAAATAAAAGAGTATTATATAAATATAAGCATGCCATATTTTTAGTTTGAATATCTGATTAAAGATAAAATGTACCATGTTTTCATTGTTTTCAATTGGTTGATGACAACAAATCAAAAGTTATTTATTAATAATCACTAAATACATTTTATTTGCAACATAAGGGAGGGCTTAAAAAATAAAATATAATCCGATATCAAAAGCACAACATTATTTACCCATCCAAATATCACAAATAGGATTATAAGCCAGGGCAATTTTGTGGGGGAGGGGTGGGAAGCAGAGAGAGAAATTTATGTACCATATCACCCAGTAAGACACAAATATTATATTTTTTATAAGGTTTTGTAGAAAGAAAAGTTAAAAAACAATTTATTATTGCTCCTGAACACAATATTTAAATAAGGTCATAATAAAATGAATTCAACTAATACCTGAACTAATATGAGTATTGGTGATATAAAACTTTCTGRATTATCTTGATTAGTAGTTGATTTATCAAGAGTCCAGCTCTCTCTAATCAACTCTTTTAAAATTGATTCTGTTTCAGAATTTTCAGAACTTGATTTATCTCCATATGATGTATTGGATGATGCTGTAGACGACCATGACGTATCGTCCATGTTATCGTCAATTATTGGATCCAGCTTGCATATATGATTTGAGTAATTCAATTCATCATCAATTATTTCTGATTCATCAGATGAAATGTCTGATTCATCTGTTGTTGTATAATCTAAATCTCGTAGTGGACACTGATTGTCAAAAGTATATGGCATGGTTTGTGACGTTGAAGCTGATGATGTTGATGCTGTCGATGTAGATGCTGTTGGGATGTCACTCATTGTTCTGGTCAATAAACTCTAAAAGGAAATCATATATTTATCTATTATTCACAATATGGATTTAAAAACATTAGTTTACAAAAAAGCATATTGAAAACATCCATCAGCCATTAAGTGCAACATTAAAGCATAATTTTATTATTCAATAGATAGTTTAAAATTTAAATAATTTAGTCTCATGAAATTTTRAGAAATTATTTAAAAGTAAATATTTTACAAATTAATTAATGTATACTAAATTTAAATAGTTTTAGTTCATAAACTTAGTATGTTCAACAAATCACTGCGCGTGCAGTAATCAACAGCAACAATTACTGAAAAAAAGTTACAACTTTTTATAAATAATAATAATAGCAAATAATTAATATGCAAAAATGAAAACTCAAAAATAATAAACAAGCGCATATGTACTTTTATTTGAAATAAATATTTTTAATTTTATACTTTATTTGTTTTTGTTTAGTAACAATATGTATTCTTTGCTGATTACTTAAATTTCTAGTTAACCAAGTTTGRCTAGGTATATTACATGATATATTTTATTTTATTGTAAAATTAAGTTAAATTATTAAATAGCTTATAAGAAAATAATGAAGATAACACGGTTGAAATGAAAATATGATTTCAATCTATTAACTGTTTAGAAGCATTGCAGAATTTATATTTAATTWACAACAAATATATATAATTAGTGATGCAAACAAGTCCTAATTTATAGTATTGAATTGACCTCAAAGAAACCTCAAAACATTCAGATTAATATTCAAAATTAAACCAAACTATTCAAATATTAAATTAACTAATAATGATGTATAGTATTTATTTAAAACTAATAAATAATTATTATGTTTGGTTATGTTTATAAATCAATAATTATACCACATCACCAAGAAATATAAATTTTCAATTGTCATTTATAAAACTACTTATTTCTATTTTAAAGTAATATTTTATACTCATAAAAGGTTGTTTGTTAAAATAATGTTACGGATTTTTGATTAAATTATATCAATAATATTAATATACATATGGCCATGTCAAAAGTGAACAAATATGTTAGTATACATCTAAAATATAAAAGGTAAGCAACAATTGAGATATTTAATTTGATCTCAAAATAAAAATCCAATTGTAAAGTTTACAAACTTTTCAAAAAAGTTTCATTACTTTGTTGAGAAAACATTTATTAATTATATTATAAGCTATTAATTATTAAAACCTTCACAGAAATAATTTTCACTTAATTGTTTTGGATTCTTATTTTGATAAAATAATTGATATTTGATATTTTCAAGTATAAAGATACTAAGAAGATCCCAAAATAAATAAGTGTTAGACTAAAAGGCCTATTTCATAAAATATGAATATTTTTTTTACTTAATGTAGTGTTAGTATTATAGTACTCAGCTTTAAGTAAGGATACTAGAACAATTATATTTTACTATTTACGTTAAATTTATGAAGAATCCAATCAAATAAGGATTGCTTTAATGCTTTGGTACATTTTTTGATACATCTATATCCATTTGATAGCATTTCCATATAACCAAACTATGTTGCCTATCAAGGATAACAAAAAATAATAACATTAATTTTGATTTAATCAGTAAAAGACAACTTTTGTTTTTACTCTTGTTTATTTTTTTAGGAATACACACCACCAGTGGAAAAATAATAAAATCAGAGGAGTTGAGAACTTTTGGAACCATTCTTAATATAAAGATGTTAAACATTTATAGAATAATCAATACAGAATTTTGAATTTAGAAAAAATTTGGTGGTGACAATAATGTTTTKAATAATTAAATTAAACTTTTTAATCATCATAAGTGGTTAAGTTTATAAGTTCTAATTTCAATTATATCAATAGTTTATTGAAACATAAATTTTGGTACTTGTGCGTTATCACAAATACCTCATATAATGGGTTATAACGACCCCGTTTTATACGCTATTCTATTTCTAATTCTATTTTTTCCAGTGTTGTTACAATTTCACTTATCACAGTTTCCTATAGAGTCTATAAAATATAAAATTCTAGAAAAAAATAACATTTCAATTAAATATTTTACGGTTATTTTAGAGTATTCGATGGCTATTCCAGGTACTAACGCGTCGGTAGAAAGAATATTTTCAATTACAAATGTTTTATGGACAGATGAGAAAAATCGATTTCTTGTGGACACAATTAGATCGATAATAATCGTAAAACAACATTTTAAAAATGTTTCATGTACAGAATTTCATACATTTCTTTTAGAACATCCACAATTATTAAAACTAATTACTTCTTCAGAAAAATATGAAAAATCATATAGTGAAGACATCTCTGAATTATCAAAATGAATTAATAAGTTTTTTTAAAAATTTAATCTTATACAATATACAGTGTTATTAAAAATTATGTTTAAATTATAGAATATATATAGATATTATAGATATATATATTAATTATTAATAAAAAAAATTAAATTATTAATAGTATAGTTGTTTATCTTTTTTTTTTAAATATGGTCACCCTACTATAGACTGGCTGGGTAACTTTTAGAACACTTGGACATTTAGCCACAACCACGCTGTCACGCTGGTAGTAGACAGTACTGTCTAAAAATCTTGTTATACAGTTACGAATGTTACGATTATTTGGCAATGGATCTGTGAAACTTACCTACAACGGAATAAGATTCCGTAGCTTTTTTCAAGAAAAATACATTTTACCACATAAACGAATCTGTTTGAACGGTCACAAAGCAAAACTCTATTTTGGTAAACAAGTATTTTGGAAGTTTTACTAGTTTTATAAATTTGACATATTCTATTATCACATATTTTATTTTATTTTATTTGACATATTATTATCATATTATCAATAAATACATTGACATTAGCTTTGGGTAGTTTTTTATTATAATAAACATATTAAAAATATGTTGCATAAAATACTATGTGTTCAAAATCAAGGTAGTCGCGAAGAGTCGACGGAAGGCGCGATAACGCACAAGTACCTAAATTTTTAGTTTGAATCATGTTTTTTAAAAACTTAGTAGTAGTATCTGCATTTATTTCTCGATGGAATTAAAAAATAATATTTTTTATGGAGGTCTGTTGTTAATGAGTAATAATGTAAGGGGATAGGGTATAGAATTTGCAATGAGTAACTGCCCATACAAATTTATAGGGCTGATTAGTGACCAATATGTGGTATATTTTTTTAGTGAAACTTTGTGGTAAAAGATTTCCCATAAAATAAAAAGTACTTACACAATAAACAAATTTAACACACCAGAATTGCCTTGAAATTTCAAATTGATTCCTCTTAAATTATTAAAATTTACTTTTTCAGCATGCAACATAAAAGTATGGCTAAATCAACTATAAGTAGGCCTATGAACTAATTAAGTTATTTTTCACTATATTTCATATCATAGGTAAGTAACTAAAATAAAAAATTTATATAATTAAGTTAAAAGTATTGAAATAAAAAATGAAAAGAATAATTAATACCTATGACAATATTATTTATTTACTTATTCATCTACATACTTTTTTAGAAGGTTATACTTAGCAAAAATAACTCGCGATATCCAAAAATGAATTCAAAGAAACTATATGATACCAATTCGAAAGTTCTAGGAATACTTTGGTACACTACACTTAGCTGACTCGTCCAACTTTAATTTTAATTTTATGAGTAATAAGTTAAATAGCATTAATAAAAACCACACTTACAAACTTTTTTTTTTGGTGGGGGGCGGTGGGGGGAATGGCATAGACTTCTTCTTGATAACTACTCGTACAAGTAGGTGGTACAACAACTAATCAGGTCTTGATAAAAATATGAAATTCGTTGTTGATCCATAAGCATCTGTAAACACAAAGATTGACTACACACACACTTARTAACGACCCGTGCATTGAAATTATTGTCAAGCCCATCGATTGGAGTCAAATACAAGTTACACATCTCAAAATAATTTTAAACAATCCATCATGCAACAGATGCAAGTCATATAACATAATGAACAGTGTCGGCCTGGTACTTAAAGGGCCCCGGACGCATTTCTTCAGAAGGGCTCCCAAACATGCTATTTTATAAAATGATAAAAAAAATGATTATAAGTAGTGAAATATTATATTTTTAATAGTATCGGGGCTCCTCGACATAAATACCGCCRGGGGCCCCGAATGCGTTCGCGGACTAGCGGCTATGGCCAGGCCGACACTAATAATGAATATGTTGATGTTGAAATTGTAACAAATTTTGTCATCCAAAACGTATAGAAAAAAAAAACTTGAATCCTAGCTAGAAATTATAACAACAGAATACTTTTCCTATTGATAATATAAAAATGAACGTTATCGAACCCCCACAATGTTAAACTGTAAAATAAATCATAAACGAGTAGKTACCTGTACCTGATATTATTAGCGAAAAATACATACTTATAATTCCGGTTTAAGTAATTGGTGGTCGAGTACGGTCACAACGAACATATTAGTGTAGGTTATCAGTTGAAAAAAATAATCGATTTCAAATCGTGTCAAATCCTGATAAAAGCTGGATACCTCAACAAAATATGCCGTCACAATAATGAATAAAAAATTACTAATAATTAAAATCAATTATATTACACATAAAACGAGAATAATAACATGCAGGTAGTCGACTAGAGTTTTAACAATTTACAATACAATATATATTCACGACTGACGACCAGTGAGACAGTGAACCGTGAACGAGAGACGACTAATTTGATAAGACAATCGAGACGATAAGACGAATGACCGAAGATCAAAAAATATGATTATAAATTTATAAACATTTATTTATAACTAATAATTTGATTTTCATGYATCGAAATTCTCCAGATATTATTCTGCTGCGGGTTATGAAATAACAAAATTATGCTGTTATTTCTGTTATAATTATCTATAGCCGTGGTTCAGTTAAGGCACTGAAGAGGTCTTTACAGGGCCCTAGTTCAGTCAGTGGTTGTCATTCAAGAGAAAAAAAAAATGATAACGATAAGAAATATTGATATTAAGTCCGTGCCACTAAAAAACGTAATCTCATCACCAGGAATTAAGTTGGGCAACACCCATCAAGATAAARAATACACTGGAGTGCGCGCTCGTATAACCGCACACTTAAATAATAGAGCCGTCGGGCGGCGTCGATTCAAAGTTCAAACGCTAACCTCACCACCGTACGGCAAGAAAAATATTATTATTTATTACGTATGCTGTACACAGGAAACATTCGAAGAATYCACTTTTTTGTTGTTGCTATAAATGCGATTTCAACCTAATACTTAATGGACATTACTTAATCGACATTTAAATAATAAAAAAAATATTCATATATTTATAATATTTATTTATTAAGATCAATTAAAACAACTAAGTACATCACAGAAATATGTAGTTATAATATAAACCATATTTAAAAAAAAAGGAATTGTATAAAAATAGTATTATTTATACTTATACATTTTTAAACAAAATAACTTTTGTAAGTTTATGCCCGAGAGAAGAATGATTTTTGAAAACTTCACACAWATTAAATTGCTTTTCATAATGTTTTACTCTTCGGCAGAGATTTGATCAAATTTTAGGGGGACTTAAATGTTTCTTTGCAAAAACTCTAATATCAATAATACCTTCACTCTTCAGTACGCATAAACTACTAAATTACTAAATTACAAAGCTACTAAATAAAAATTATTAACTATATAATATTATGCACTTTAAAAGTCATTAAATTATAGGTAATACAATAAATATTTTATTATTTTAGTGCAATAAACCTACTTTTATTAGCAAATATATCAATAATGTTCTCAATACTGATATTGATATCTTTTTCAATGTATAATAYTGAAGAGTTATTCAATTTTTCTTGCAGCATACTCGTGCATAGCCATGTCTTAACTTTGCGCATTGCAGAATAGCTTCATTTACACGTAGCCGAGATGATTGGTATTGTTATGGCTACCTGTAGAAGTTTRTATAAATTAGGAAACACACGTTTAGAAATATTTTGTTTTGTTGTTTCATAATTTATTTCATTTCCTGATTGCAAGATGCTATTTTTTGCTACGGTCATCTCAGACTGAATATTGAATTTCAATAAATCCAATTATCTCTAAAAACAGTTAAAATGTACTAAGAACTTTTATCATAAAACTAAAAACTTAAGATTTACTTGATAATGATCAATAAAAATTGACTTTCTTCAAATTTTAGTTGAAAAAATTATCAACAGATATGCCCATTTGTAAACTATTATTAAAAATCTTTCTTTTAACTTTGTAACTAGTGTGTCAAGAATCACATAGTTACGCATTTATTCTGTAGAAATCTTCAGTTGTCTGTGTAGGTTCTGTGTACTGTGCACTAGCGCTAGCAGTTATAATGAAATGTTTAAGATTGTTTGGTTCTTTCCTTGTTCTTTCATTTCCTAAATTTTAAATAGAATTGATAAAATAATCATTTTTAATAATAACATAGTTAAGTAATCAGTTATTTAGGTTTAGGTATACCTTGGAATGGATTTTCAATAGATATATTATTGACTGTTGCAAATTTATCAAACCAAATTTCAGCAAAACATTTAATGGTTTTATAATCCTCTAAGGATTTGATTATAGATTTAATAATAAATTAATAATTGATGAATTTCCAAGAGTTGAAGTTTTTTTTGGCAATTTGCATGTTAAAATATTAATTATTGTTAAAAATGTATGTAAAAGAAACAAATATACAATGAATTGTCCTTTTTGTCATATTGGTTAAAATTCCTGAAAAATAATAAAGAATAAGTACACATTAACTTCAAATTAACAAGTATCTATAATCTATATATTAAAACATTAATYGCAATAATCAAAATATTTACCTATAGCTTCATTTACATATTTATCAGATTCATTTTCAATCTCATTTATTAATGTATCTGCTATTGCTTTATAACTGACATTACAGCTTCGCAATTTTTGTAACGGCAATTCCACCTTGTGTTGATTAATCTTGTAATTGACTATTTTTAACACCCAACTTATTTTGAATATCGATTAATTTTTATTATTAGCCAGATATGAAAAGTGAACATGAAGGGCCTCTAATGTGTTAATAATGTTTCTGGTTTCCAGCTGTAATTTAATATTTGAAATATTATTAAATTAGTTTTTATTTTAAAACAAAACACATTTATTTAAAAAATAAAAATATAAATAGGCAATTTAAAATAATTAATCCATACCTTTACTTTTTTACACATGTCTAGAATTACTAAATTAACTTTGTGTGCTGTGCAGTGAGTATAAATTGCGTACGGATGTTTTTCTTTAATCTTTGCTTGGACACCATTAAATACCCCAGATATAACGCTGGCCCCATCATATGATTGAGCTACAATTGCCACCTGAGGGTTTAAATTACATTACTTGAGGTAATCTAGCATAGTTTGACTTAAAGCCTCTGCGTCTTGTTTATATGAACAATCAATGAAACCAATAAATCTTTCTTTGATATCTAACCCTTTGCAGTATTTCAAACATAAAGCCATTACTCATCTTTAAAACATCTGAAAAATTCAAATTCAAATTTGAATTGATTAAATTTCCAATTAACATTTTTAATTTATTACCTAGCTTCAACGCACATTATTCCAAACATGCCTACATCGTCAACTTCTAGTATTATGGTACCTTTTGATAAACCTGCACAAATATTAATAAACTCATCTTGAACTCCATGGCTAGTATAATTTGTTTTCTCTTTATATTTCTGGGCAAATTCAGGATATAGTTTAGATATCATATCACAGACTTCTTTAAAATTTCCTAAATACAATTATTAGTTAAATTTAATTATTAATAAAAAAAAATTACTCTCCACTTCATACCTTGATTCATAGAGCTGTGAGCTTCATTGTGGCCTCTAAATGGTAGGCCTTGTCTGCACAAAARTAGTGTCACTTYACACAAAGTTCTTATATATCTACGATTACTTTCAATAAGTAGCTTATGTTGAGAAGAAACCTGTGCCAACACTACCAGTTTTTTCAATGTCTTTATGTGACTGCCATTTTTCCATATTAGCCAGATGATATTTTGTTGTTACTTTAGAATGAAGTCTATTTTGATGGCCTTTTATAGATCCTCTTGAACTACTTAACTGTATTAAATTTAAACGTAATAAAAAAAAAATTGTATTCAATAAAATTGTTTAATTATTAAAATGTTTACTTTATTCCATTTTTAAAACAAATTATAGTAAATGTATCTTCGATATTGTTCCCAGAACAATTAAATACGACAGGCAAAACAGTACAAAGCATCATTGATGATACTATATTAAAGCCATTCAAGGCAGTTGTAATATGATGCATTAGTACTACGGGTTTGTTGACCACATAGGCGCAAGGGGGCTTAGCCCCCTACAAATTGGTATAGCCTCCCAAAAATCAAATAATTTTACTTCATGATACACATTATTTAATTTAAAAGCATCATAAGAGTATTCAGTATCCTGATCTGAGCTACAGCTTCAGCCCCCCCCCCAGATTTCAAACTCTATTTGTGCCTATGGGTGATCAAATTTTGTCATTGGATAAGACTGGAACGTCTGGAACATAATTTAAAAGTAGTAGTCAGTATTATAGTCACTCTATATACCTTAATGGTACCAACAACAGCAATTATGCAATAGTAAAATGTAAAAATTGTATTTATATATTAATTATTAAGGTTTCTAATTATTTATAACCAAAGTTTAATTGTAATTTGTAAGTGTTAAGTATCTACTGTTATATGTGGCATGTGCCAACTAATAGTAATAGACAAAATATTACTTCTTTTAGCTAAATGTTTAAATTGCGTAATATTAGGCCAACGAAGCAAATGAGCTAAGGCAGCACTTAGTAAGATAATATTTAAGGATGTATAAGCATCACAGTAGAGGGACAGTGCGGGTTTCGAGTGAGAGACGGTATATGTTTGTAAGCGATTCATAGAGACCCGTATTTTTGTGTGTTTATTTTATGTTTAATAAAGTCATTCAAAATAGTATTAATTGTTCATTGATCATTTTGTGTACCATCATAGGTATACTACAGTGGCGCCATGCGTGTGAAGTTGGCCCCCCGACTTTGTCCGATCGATTCCAAAACTATGTCAATATTTTACAAATTAATTGCAAATAATCGCAAATTGGTTTTTGGAATTTGATAATAGCGCCATTGTTTTGTATTTTATAGGCAAGTGAGCCTTATTATTCACTTATTGTAACTAATATATATTGAATACCTACATTGTGAGAGGATAATAAACATTATTTCTACTCCAACACCGTTTCTCGTAAGTCCTTTATCATATACCTAATACCTACAATCAACATTGCCCACGTCTCCCGACTACTGTGTTTCGCGTTGGTTCACCTCCACGTCATCATCGAGCGAGTGTCACCGCGTAAGTCCGCCAGCAACTTATGTTGTGTGAGAGGCCGCCCAGGTCGTCAGGTTCCTGCAAATCAACACCAGCACACCACCCTTCAGACTTCAGTAGTTTAAGTTAGTTTAAGAATTACCTATCCCTATTTTGTTAGCTCTGTGGTCATTGCACCAGACCGAATCGACCACAGAGAACCCCTCCCCATAATTAACTTGTATCATCCTACTTCCCTCGTACATTGTATAACCACTCCCGTTCCTGTGTCGTCGTCGTACATAATTGATTGCCGACCCAATAAAAGATAAGGCGTGTAGGATCGGTGGCCTATCTATGCTATTGTAGGGGTTTTTTGTTTAGTGTTCGTTTTCGAACCACCGAGTGCTCCTTCGGCTATCCCGTGCGAGATCGGGATAGAACAACCCTTATTGGCTATTTTAATTTGTATATTTTTTACCTACAGTTTTATATTTTTTAATGTGCTTAATTTTAGTATTTTTTTAATTTTTAATTCTAAGACCTATAGAAGTATTGACTATGTTATAATAACTATTGACAGTGATAAAAATGTAAAATATTTAATACAAATTTAAAAAAAAAAACTGTTTTATTATTAAAATATTTTAATTATTTATTTACCAATGAAATATAATAATTTGGATTTAGGTGCGAGGCCTCGCATATATAATTTGCACAGAGCCTCGCAAATCATACCGCCGGCACTGATAAGGCCATAAGGACTTATAAGCTGCGACTGTACCTATATTTAGGCCGGGGTGCATAAAGATTAGTCTGTAAATTCGTTACGGGGCCTGTAATTTACCGGTCCGGTAAGGTTTAATGATGTTCGTAAAATTATGAGTGGGTTGCATAAAAAATAATTAGATAACCAAATAAATTAAAACATATTTTATTTGATAAATTTGAATAATGATAACACAAATGATATACTTTGTACATATTAAATTATTAMMTCATTATTATGATTTATGAGTACTAATATTACTAATAGTRCTATTTTTATTTATATTCCACTGTCCACTACTGGATCTGGAGTCATAGACGGTGATGGAAAAAAAAATTATTCCATACTTTACATAGGTAAGACGTTGTCGTTTTACGCTTACCGTTAATTCGTTAATAATACCTACATAAACATGTTATTATTGTTATTAAATATTTTAACAGTGTTAAARTACGAATAATATTTCTCATTACTCAACGGTGTCCTGTGTCTTGTTTTATTTTTCATTCAAAAGTTTTTATAATGTCTGATAATAATTTAAAATATTTCGGGATTTTTAATACAAAAAAGCGGGTAAGTGGATGTCGCTCTGCTGTACATTAGGGGGTGGGGTGGACCTCTGACTATGGTAGGTTAAATTTTAATGCAATGATAGGTATCATTGTATACGAAAAACGATTCTGAACGGAGATGATTTGTCAGTCTAAGATAATATATTATATTTGTATAAATAACGCTTATAAAAAAAATTGTGCCCATGTATTCTTATAATTTTTTAATCACTATAAGAATAACTTATGAGAAACTTTGTATTAAATTTTCAAGTATTTTGATTGGGCCAAAAACATTTTATCGACACTTAAATATCTCAAAATAAGTCAAAATATTTTGAAAATTGAATCATTTAAAAAAAATACCAATCTAAATAACTGGTAAAATTTTCAAGTATCTACTACATATACTTTTTGAATAATAACAAATAGGTATTTAAAATCGTTTGAGGATAAATCGTTATCGTTATGCTATTTCGTACAAATTTAAAATTCAAACGCACTTAAAATTTATTTTTCCTATAATGATGTTTCAAGTTTTATCTATAGCCATTTGAAGGAAAACTTATGGAAAACTTAGTGTTGTATTTTTATTCCTTAGTTATAAACACAAAAAATTTTATGATTTTTCAACTTTGCGTTTTCGACAGATTTCGTAAAAATTTGAACTATAAATGCGTATAAAAAAAAGCTTTTTTTTAGCTACAATAAGAACAACCCATAAAGAACCTTGTATTAAATTTTCAAGTTTTTTTGGTCGTCCGACATTTTTTTACCGGCACTTCAAAAAAAATTCTCAAAAAAAKGAAAATTTCTGGTCTATTATTAACTCAAAAAAAGTCAAACATTTTTGAAAATTAAACTGTATATAGATAACACTGACATAAACATTTGGTGAAAATTTCAAGTATTTATAGTGATTAGTTTTTG